CATGTAATGCATTTATTTTAGATGGTCTCGGGTTAAGTTTAGTTTTTTTCATCAAAATGAAAACATATGTAATATTTTTTTCCAGGAGAACTAAGAGACCAATTTATTGTTCTGATACCAAATCTCTATTAATTGTGAGAGAGATGAGACTGACTAGCTTTGGATGATTTTCCTTATTAATTGTGGAAGATATCAGATTAGGACGAATTGGATAAACTTTAAAAGCTGTGTGAACATCTCCGCTTATCCTAATAATAATATTTTACTAAATCAATAATATTTCAGAGACATTCTGGAGCGTTGTGGTCGGCCACAAAGTAGACGTGCATGAGCTTTCGACACGAACACGCTTTGCATCCAAACTTTTAACTGCGCATTTTCATTGAAGTAACCATAGAAAAGTAAGGAAACGTAAACAGGTAAAACATGATATGTATTTGAAGTTAAAGATATGTATTGTAATTTGTAGCTAACTTAACAATGTTTTTAATAGAAAGAATTTAAGTTAACAATGTTAATGAATCACACTTTAAATAAGAATCTAGGTTATTAGTAAATAAAATATATGTACAGATTTCTTTCTAAAATATACCTATTAAAAAATAAAAGACCCTGACCAAATTACAGAACCGGATAAACCGGAAACAAAGCTTGACTGATTTAATTGATCTTTGCAAACCACATGTAACATATTAAAAACATCAATTACATAATAAAAATGGTAGACAGATATATCCAGTTACACATTACGTAACTATATCATAAAACAAACCACAGGTGTATAATGTCTTTGTATGAAGAAATTAAATAAGGCAGAGCCCAACCGGAGAGTTGAATTATAAGTAGTCTTGACCACCGGTTTAATCCTCAATTCTCACATAGACCGTCTCCAACAGAAATAACAGAATAATAAAATAATTTACTTTATTTTCCAGAAGAAAACCGAAAAATGAAAGAACCAAAAAAAATACCTAACTTGGAATACAAATAAAGGAGATCACGTCGTCATCTTCAACCTCTCTGACCTGTTCTGTTAATCTGTTAATCCTCTCTGCTTTTTCATCATTCCTCATCTCTGGAGCTGGAGGGTCAGGTCAACCCCCCCTCCCTCCTTCTTCCAACCGCCGCCATGCCCTATCTCCGCTTCATCCTCCTCGCCGTCTTATCTCTCGTCTCTTCCTCTCTCTCTCAGCCCCCTCCTCCCTCCGGTACGCCTCTCTCATTCTCATTCTCATTCTCATTTTCTTTCTATAGGTTCGGGATACTCCAGATTAATTAAATATTTATTTATGTATTTCTAATTCAGCGATTCTGATTGATTGTGGCGCCTCCACCTCCTCTACAATCAACAACCGTAAATGGCAATCCGACACGGATCTAATCTCCACAGGAACATCAAAAACCATCTCAGGACAAGTCCTAGACCAAATCTTATCAACCCTAAGATCCTTCCCTCTTAACCTAGCCCCCACTCGCCGCAAATTCTGCTACGTCATCAACGTCTCACGTGGATGGAAGTACATGATCAGAACAACGTATTTCTACGGAGGAGTCAACGGGAAAGACACTCCTCCTCCCGTTTTCGATCAGATCGTGGACGGCACGTTTTGGGGAGTCGTGAACACCACGGCAGATTACGCGGACGGTTTAGCTTCTTATTACGAAGGTGTTTTTTTAGCGCAAGGGAAGTCTATAAGCGTGTGTGTTGCTTCGAATACGTATACGAGTTCGGATCCGTTTATCTCGGCCTTGGAGGTTGTTAGGCTTGATGGTAGTGTTTATAATTCTACTGAGTTCAGAGAGTTTGGGCTTAGTCTTGTTGCTAGACATGCTTTTGGTTACAGTGGCCCAATCATCAGGTAAAGTTTCTATAGAATTGTTCAGCTCTTAGAGATTAGTGGTTTGTGATAGTATGAAAGGTTTAGTGTCTTTTGATATGAAGGCAATGTAGTCTATACCATAAATGGTTTTGAGAAGAACCGGTTCTAGGTATAGGTAAGTGAAACATTGACTTATAACCTCGAAATATCAAGAGATAATTTACAAAATTAATGAAAATCTTTACTAGGTTGTTTATAGTTCTCAAAATCTTAGGACCGGTCTCTATGGTTTTGAGCAGAATCGGTTCCAGGTATAGATAAGTGAAACATTGGCTTATAACTTCGAAATTTCAAGAGATAATTTACAAAATTGATTAAAATCTTACTAAATTGTCTATAGTTCTCAAAATCTTAGAACCGGTTTCCCTAGCTTGTTATTGATATAGTTTACAATTTTATATATACCAATAATGGTTTTGAGAAGAACTGGTCCGGAGTATAGTCAAGTGAAAATTGACTAATGACCCTCAAATTTCAAGAGAGAATTTACAAAAATTAATTAAAATTCTTCTTAAACTGTCTATAGTCTCAAAATCTTAGGACCTGTTGGTTTTGAGCTTGCTATTAATATAGTTCACCGTTTTGTTTGTTCATACAGGCAATGAGGTTTTATATTTCATTTTTCCATCTGAAATTCTTTTACCACTATGTTTTCAGTAGTGGAATATTGTTTTTTTCAGCATTTCTCTTGTTAATAATATACAAGTATTTAAATGTATGTTGCTTTCAGGTTTCCAGATGATGAGTTTGATAGGTTTTGGGAGCCTTACTCTCTAAACTCAACAGTACCAAACAATAGAAAACTAGAAGTTTCTGGTTTCTGGAACCTTCCACCCTCAAGGATATTCAACACTGATCTAAGAGCTAACCAGGATCAACCTCTGGAGTTCACATGGCCACCAATGCCCTTGAGAAACTCTGTTTATTACATCGCGCTATACTTTGCACATGATTCTGATTCGTTGGGTGATGGAACCAGAGTGTTCGATGTTTCTGTGAATGGTATAGCGTATTATAAAGAGTTGTCTGTTATACCAGCTGGTTCGGTTATATTTGCAAGCAAGTGGCCTCTTGAAGGTCTCACAACGTTGACACTGACTCCTACAAGTGGCTCAACTCTTGCTCCTCTTGTTAATGGTGGTGAAATGTTTGAGTTGATATCTCTTGGAGGGAAAACTCTTGTTCGAGATGGTATGACTGTTAACAACACTGATTGGTTTGATAAGTTATTAGCAGCTGATAAAATGCTGACTTTGTGTTTCTTTTGTAGCAACTGCTCTGAATGCTATTAAAAGAAAATTCAAGAACGTACCTGTTGATTGGAATGGTGATCCTTGTATGCCTAAAAACTACTCGTGGAGTGGTGTTACCTGCTCTGAAGGCCGTCGAATTCGCGTTGTAGCTTTGTGAGTTGGAATTTGTGTAGTTCTGTGCATCAGTTTGAAACTTACTGACAGTTTTTTTTAATCTATTCACAGGAACTTAACTAATATGGGACTTTCAGGTTCACTAGCTCCTCAAATTGCCAAATTAACAGCATTGTCCTCTATGTAAGGAACCTTAACCAGTGAAGAGTTAGTTCTATGTCTTAACGTCAAAAACATCAACTGATACTCTTGTTCTTAAACAGTTGGCTGGGAAACAACTCTCTCTCAGGGAGTATACCTGACTTAGGCTCACTCAAGTTTCTTGAATCAGTGTAAGCAGATAACTCTTTATATTTGGCAATTGAATAGAGATTCATAAGCTAATGTCATCCCTTTTCCTTGTAGGCACCTTGAAGACAACAGTTTCAGTGGAACTTTTCCTTCATTCTTCAGTGGAGTGCCACGCTTGCGTGAGCTGTAAGTTTCAGTTCTCATATTACTATTATACAGTCCTTTGATTACTCTATATGTGCATATTGTCTGCTTCTTGTGCTCAAGATTCTTTCTTGTGGATGTAAAAGACTCACATAACACCTCATCACCCTTTTGTCTTTTAGCTTATTTCCATAGTTTTACTTCAACCTATGTCTTCTATATATCATTGCATTGTGGCGATTTTCTTGCTATGGGGATGAGTTACTGACTTCGTATTTATGTTTTGTGGATCATTAGGTTCTTGCAAAACAATAACCTAACTGGCAAGATTCCTAGCAATCTTCTACAGAAGCCAGGACTTGAGCTAAGGTTAGCTATCAAAACTCCATGAGTAGTTTTTCACCATACAAATCTGAAGTATAAATTGGCTAATACAATTACTCTCTGATGCTTTATTACTTCAGGGTTTCTGGTAATCCCTTTTTGACTCAACCACCACGTTGATTCAGCCCTTGTAAGAAGAAGACGACAATGATTTGAGTTTGTGTTATAGTTTTTGTAAGTTAGAAGCCTGACGTGTACAATCCTACTTAACATACATCTTTAATGCTTCATTCTTTAAAAACTTACTTTGGGGGGACAAGGGAATACTGATTGCATATGTTGTGTAATGAAAAAAAAAAACATCATTTTTGTATTATGAATCTTTGTGATAAACTGAGTTTATGTGATGATACTCAACTAGATCCTTTCTCATCTGGATTCAGCCTTGTAGAGATTCTTTAGAGCAAATATCTATCAATATGTCAAAGAAGATGTCACAAGAGTACAAGGAGAAGTGTGAATAAGGAGAGCTGTAGTCTGTAAAAAGTGGAGCCTAGTTCCAAAATGGTGACAGACTGCAGAGAAAAGTAAATTTGAGAAAACATCTGAATCTTGCATGTGCCCCATCATCATTAACTAACAAACATATTACTCTGCTCTTTCTATCTCATTCCTTATCAGTTTTTTTTTTTTTTTTTTTTGACATTGACATTTTTGTCTCCCACATTTCACATCTTCACATACAAAAAATCTAAATCACATCTTCATCTGTTGATAATAACATACTTTGGGTCTAGAAATAGAAAATGGATATTAAGAACAGAGGAACATATCTTACTAAGATTTCTTAACACTCTCACACATTAGATCTCAACTCATAAAAAAATAAAAAATAAAACACCTGAAAAATGCTTAATCACATGCATTAGAGTTACATATCACTTTGATAATCCAAACTAAATCAACCAATAAGCTGTGTCAAATATCAAACTTTTCAAGTGCTTTTCTCTACTCTGTTTTTCTTAAGCCTAAGCGGAAACAGAGGAGGCAATGGAACAGAGGATTTAGAAAGAGTGCAAACAGGGACATGAATCATCGGCCTTATCCTCATACTCTTCCTCTCTATTCCTTTCTTACCTCTCTTCCCTTCTTTCTCCTCTCTCTTATCCTCAAGCGAGCTTGATGATGACGTGGACGAAGACGGAGACAGAGACGACCTAGAATTCCTCTGTTTCTTCAACCTCAAAAGCTCTTTCCAAAGAACTGTGCATTTAGGAGGACGGGGAGATGGATCTTCATCTAGAAACCAACTCACTCTGTTCTTATCCTTTGCTTCAACTTTATGATTCTCTTCTTCTTCTTCTTCCTTGGACTTCAAGTTAACGTTTTTAAGCTTCTCTGAGTACTTTTCTTGCCAGAAAGGAAGCAACTTTCCTTCAGAGAAGAGTTCGTCTGCAGTGTGCATCCTCTGTGGACTCACATTCTCCGACAAGAACTCAAAGTCGGAGACTTTCACTGACCCTTTAACGACTTCTTTCTCTTTACAGATTACAGGGCTCATGCAGATGAAATCTCCACCGTCTGAGAAAGACATACGAGGTCCAATCAACGGTGGTGATTCCGCCTTAGAAACCATATCTTCTACTTATAAACTTCGGTGAGAGTAATGGATGATGGAGAGACAGTATGTAAATGAATAGAGAGAGTGAGAGAGACAGAGAGCTCTTATAAGGAGAAACAGAGTGAACTTATAAATTACTCCCTCCCTCTGTTGCATTATAAGTAGCACTCTACAACTGTGTACACGGATTAAGTAAACAATTAATTTTACATATTTCTTATATAAAAACACAGTTACCTATACACCTAAACATATTTTAACCAATAGAAAAACTAATTACATAATAAAATTAATAAATTTTGCATTGAAAACCGAAAACGACACTTATTTTGTAAAGCAAAAAAATTTCTACAACGACACTTAATATGAAACGGAGGGAGTATTTATTAAATATAATTAAAATGAATTTAGAATAGTACTAATGAGGAAGACGACCACATGGACAGATTAGGGGGAGACACAAGGAGACAAATCACAGACATGTAAGAGTATTAAATAGAGTTATGAGTTTTAAGTATTAAAGATTTAATTAAAATCTTGCAGCAATCGAGATTGAATTTATAAGAAAAGAATGGTCGGTCAATGGGAGTTAGGACTTAAACGAGAGAGTGCAGTGCATGAAGGAAGGTAATAAAACAGCTAACAAATATGTCGGTACATGATAATCGTAAACAGCCTATCATACTTTAAAATATTTTCTTATCAATTGACAATAATCTGCTACCATTTCAATACCATCCTTTAAATATTTTGGATTTTGTATATAAGTTATGGTTGCAATAAAACCAAGAAATCTTTACAAATCAATGAGTCAAAGTAGGTGTGGTTGTCTCAAAGGGAAGAGATATTAAGCTAAGGAAAGCAAATCTGCCTAATCAAAAAAACCTCCACCTTAATTAAGGTCATACAATGAATACAATTATCACAGATCAAGGTATCAAAACTCATTCTTCTTATGTTTATCTATCCTTGTATGAAACTCTATTATAAAATAGCATACTAGCTGTATAAACTCTAATACATTTTAGATTACAAAAGCAATCCATACAACATCACTATAATAGTCATGACCAAACTACGCATTTTTTATATAGTTTCTGGAGTCATTTGCATCCTCTTTATCACTTTCATGATCACTTTGGTTCTTGCACAAACCGTGTTCAAACCAAAACATCCTATATTACAAACCGTGTCTTCAACTATTGAAGGTGTATCCACATATGTATCACCAACTCAAGATATCCAGCTAAATTTTACTCTCACACTTCAGATGCTGATGACGAATCCCAACCTTGCTGATTTTCAATTCAAGACGGTGGAAAATTTGGTTTATTATAGAGACATTCTAGTGGGAAATCTCACTATTCCTTCGACTACACTCCCAGCCAAAGGCTCAGCGCTTTTGCCATGTCCTATGGTACTTCAGATTGATAAATTTGTTGCAGATTTAGGTGATATTTTGCAAGATATATTGCAGAGAAAAATTGTGATAGAGACCAAGGCACATATGCCGGGGAAAATCACAGTGTTGGGAATCTTTAAGGCACATATAAATACATTTTCGCATTGTAAACTCGTACTTAACTTTCCCTCAATGGAAGTGGAAGTGCAAGTGTGTGAGCTTGACACTAAGCTATAAAACGTTGATGTTTCCTCAGGTAAAGCTTAGTAGGTAAGAGTAACTCTAGTTTCATGTAGTCATATAGATTGTATGCTTGGTTGTTTTTCATTTTTTTCTTTTCCATTTGGACTTTTATTCTTGATACTTGTTTAAGTTATTTCCACATGAATTCAAAATGATAATAAGGAAGAAAATTGTGTATAATTATCTCCTATGCAAAACGAAAAATTAAATTCTCAAAGAAAGAAATAAACGGTTTTAAGTTGTATACGGATTGTTTTTTTTTTGTTGACAAAGTAAATGAAACGTTCAAATACAGTTTTGTTGAATATGTGATTCAAAAGTAAGTGGATAAAGAGAAAAAAAAGATCATTATCCAAAACAAAACAAAAAGGATTTACAGACCATACATCAACCGTAGATCTCGCCTCTGCTATTTTCGTAAAACAATCCCATTTTTAGACAAGTTTGGATCTCAGTTTGGTCTGAGACTCTGTGACATGTCTTTATAAATATGGTATCTCCTTCATCTTCTATCCAACAGTATCTATCATTTCAAGCACTGTCTTAGTCTCCTTCTTTAGTTTCCTTCATGCTTCATCTCTAGCTTAAAACAGACACACGACACACATATACAAACACTTTGATATCTATTAGGTTTGAGTGGTGGTGTTTTGATTCAACATGCCTGTTGTTGTATCTTCTGACGGGAATGCTCCGGCTTTCAAAGCCAAGATGACTGTCTATGTCTTTGTCTGTGTTGTAATTGCCGCTTTCGGCGGTTTGATCTTTGGTTACGACATCGGAATTTCCGGTTTACTCTCTTTCTCTGTCTCAGTTTTCACTTTACTTGCTTCTCAAGGAAACAAAGTTCAAATGCCCTAACTTGTATAGTAAGTTACCTGTTTTTGGTTTTCTTTAAGCTAACGTTAATGACATGTAATTTTTAAAAGGTGGAGTTACGGCGATGGATGATTTCTTGAAGAAGTTTTTCCCCACGGTGTGGGAGAAGAAGCAGCACGTTCATGAGAACAATTACTGCAAGTATGATAACCAGTTCTTGCAGCTATTCACATCTTCTCTTTACCTAGCCGCCCTAGTGGCCAGCTTCTTGGCTTCAGCCGTATGTTCCAAACTCGGAAGGAAGCCCACTATGCAGTTTGCTTCTATCTTCTTCTTGATCGGTGTCGGGCTAACCGCAGGAGCCGTTAACATCTTTATGTTGATCGTTGGAAGAATCTTGCTTGGCTTCGGCGTCGGCTTTGGCAATCAAGTAAGATATATACACCTTTCTTGCTCGGCAAGTTTTCTAGAAATGACCTAATTTTGTTGTATCCACTTTAAATTTTTCAGGCAGTGCCGCTTTTCCTGTCCGAGATTGCTCCGGCTCAGCTCAGGGGAGGACTCAACATTGTATTCCAACTCATGGTCACTATTGGAATCTTTATCGCTAACCTTGTTAATTACTTCACTGCCACGGTTCACCCTAACGGATGGCGTATTGCTCTCGGTGGAGCCGCGGTACCCGCGATTATCCTCCTCTTTGGCTCATTGATCATCTGCGAGACTCCTACGAGCCTCATAGAGCGCAACAAGAACGAAGAAGGCAAAGAAGCCCTAAGGAAGATAAGAGGAGTTGAAGATATAAATGAGGAGTATGAATCTATCGTTCATGCCTGCAACATCTCGAATCAAGTCAAGGACCCTTACAGGAAACTGTTGAAGCCAGCGAGTCGCCCACCTTTCATCATTGGAATGCTTTTACAGCTCTTCCAGCAGTTTACAGGAATCAATGCCATTATGTTCTACGCACCGGTCTTGTTCCAGACCGTTGGCTTTGGAAGCGATGCAGCTCTTCTCTCTGCGGTTATAACCGGAGTAATCAATGTTCTCAGTACATTCGTCGGGATTTACCTCGTCGATAGAACAGGACGGAGATTCCTTCTTCTCCAATCTTCCGTTCACATGCTCATTTGCCAGGTAGGTATCTTGTTTCACAAGTAAATCAAATCTTGAAGTAGATCTTGCTTCACAAGTAATCCTCTAAGATTAACAGATTCTTGTTAACAGTTGATCATTGGAATCATCCTAGCGAAAGACTTGGGCACCACGGGAACACTCGGGAAGCCACAAGCCTTAGTGGTTGTGATATTTGTGTGCGTTTATGTGATGGGTTTCGCTTGGTCATGGGGACCTTTAGGGTGGCTAATTCCTAGTGAGACGTTTCCTCTGGAAACTCGAACTGCAGGATTCGCTGTTGCGGTCTCGTGCAACATGTTCTTCACGTTTGTGATCGCGCAGGCTTTCTTGTCGATGCTTTGCGGGATGAGATCGGGGATATTCTTCTTCTTCAGTGCTTGGATCATTGTGATGGGACTGTTTGCGATGTTCTTCATACCGGAGACTAAAGGAGTCGCTATTGATGACATGAGGGAGAGAGTGTGGAAGCCACATTGGTTCTGGAAGAGGTATATGCTTGCTGAGGATGATCATCAAGACTTGGAGAAGAGAACTTAATGAAACATCTCTTTGAGTATTTTTTTTTTTTTCTTTCTGATTCTGTTTCTTTTCCTTGTTGATGTTTGGTAATTCTTTTGTTACTTCATTTGTTTCGTGGGAACAAATAGTGTAATAAGGCCAAACTTGTTGATTCAGGTTAGGTATTTTATCAATGAAATTCCATGAAAATTTTCCTCAAAATTTATGTTCTTTGTAGTAATGTTTTTTGAAATAGAGTTCATAAACATGTTTATGTTACAGAATTCTGTCCCTCCATTTTATAATCCATTTTAGAAAAAAAATTGTTTCACAAATATATATTTTTACATTTTCATAGTAGTTTTTAGTGATAATAATGGTAAATTGTAAACTTTCAAAAAATAGTTAAGTTTATAGAGTTTTTTGTTGGTTAAAATTATGAAAAATAATTATTCATAAGATAATGCATTATAATTAAAATTTAATTTAATTGTGAAAAATGTAAAACATATATTTTTGAGACGGAGGGGATATGTTTTTGTAGACGATTATTATGTTTCTACTTTCTAGAATAAAAGTCAACGATTTTAAAATAAATTCAATTTTCTTGTACTAGAGTTCTGTACAAGAATTCTAAGTTTGTGTACTAGTATGTAGTAGAATTTTATGTTTTTGTATTTAAATCCTATGTTCTAATTCTCTGCACCAAAGGTAGTAAACACCAAACAAGTGAACTCAGATTAGGCTTTAAAATAAACCGTGAATCAAAAACCTTCTCCTGATACAATGAAGACTCATCACTCACTCAACCTCAAAATCTTGTCTAACCAAAGATAAAATGCAAAATCATAAGATACTAAAGGGACTGTCAAGTTTCACAAAACATTTCAAACTAAGATAGCAAAGAAGACAAAAAGGAAGAAGTTTATGTTGGTGAGAGCAAAATTTTCTAGTCAGGAAGTATTTGCTCGTTGTCTGCATCTCCTTCTGTCTCAATGGTCGGCTTTGAAGGTCCAGCTCCAGGAGCTTGCGTCTTCTTGATACCACTCACTATATCATCAATCCTCAGAAGCATACACGCCGCTTCAATAGCTGTCTTGAACGTTTGCGCCTTTACATTGTAAGCATCCCATATCTGATCAAAAAGTTCAAAGTGTTAAAAGAAGTCCCAATAAACAATAGATTCACCACAAAGCAAAGCTTTATGTTCTTACCTTGCTCTCCTTCATGTCAGCTATTGCACCAGTGTTTCCATCGATTCCAGTCCAGGCATTCTCACCATTTGCATGCTAATACCAAAAACACCAAAGATTCTATCAATGAGAGAAAGATTCGGTATCAGAAAATGTCATAGACGATAGATACCTTTCCTTGCAACGCTGTCATAGTTCTGATCACGTTAACTCCACAGTTTTGAGCTAGAGTACGTGGAATAGCCTCAAAAGCTATCGCAGCTGCTTCATATGGCCACTGTTTCAATAACGATCAGAATTAGAAACCACATTCAAAGTTTTAAAGGATTTGAACTACAGGCAAAGAGGTTAAACTATAGCCAACCTTTTCGATTCCTTCAATTGTTGCACTCTTCTGTTTTAAAGTGGCTGAAACGGTTAACTCAGTGGCTCCTCCACCAGGAACAAGCTTTGGGTTCTTAATGATGTTTCTTGAAACAGACATTGCATCCTGTAAGAAGAATGTTATCAGTCATCAATTTCTTAACTTATTTAATGTTTAGTAAATATCATTAACTTACCTGAAGATTTCTTTCCACTTCGTTGAGAAGATCTTTACTTGGTCCTCTTAAGAGTACAGTACAAGCTTTCGGTTCTTTGCAATCAACAACGAAGGCAAAGAAGTCATCTCCTATTTTCTTGACCTCAAACAAGCCAGCGCCAGTACCAACATCAGACTCTTGAAGCTCGTCAGGTCTGTTGACAATTACAGCTCCACATGCCTTAGCAATTCTGTTGTTATCCGTCTTTCTCAGCCTACGAATAGCACTAACTCCAGCTTTACTGAAATAATGACAGGCCAAGTCACTAAGTCCCTTCTCTGTGATGACCAAATCTGGTTTGAACTTTAGTATTTGCACGCAGATGTTCTCGATGTATTCCTCTTCCAGTTTCAGCAGAACTTCCCAGTCCTCTTCTCTGACCAGCTCAGCGTTTGTTTGGTTTTCACCTTTCTTGTACTCAAGGGGGCAGTCAAGAAGAATAATCCGTGGGTTGATGATCTTTCTCTTCATTTTACCAGGAGCAACTACGTCTTTGTTGAACATGACTCCTTTGAGAACTTTGGAGTCTTCCAACTGGCCACCAGGAACCTTCTCAACCTTGATGTATTTTTTAATATCCACCTCTCTCAATCCTTGTCCAAGATCAACACCAACGGTAGTGGTGGCGTCAATAGCCAAATCCTAAACGAGCCACATAAATTAGTGAGTACAATACTTTGTGACAATGAGACAATCCATTCACACAGCCTAGAAAATATGCTAAATAATGTGTTATTGTGAGAATATAATATGTAGCTTCTAATGTGCAGATGTGGAAATGTGTTTGTGTTTTATAAATTTACAGCTTCTTAACATGTAGTCTAGAAAAAAATATGTGTTAAAAGACATCTATGTGACGTATAAGAAAAGATCTTCACTAATTAAAGTACTTACAGCAATAAGATCTCCAAACTGGCTAGTGAATTTTGTTCCTATGCAGCTCTTGACTAATCCTAGTACTGTTGCGCCTGCAATATAAACATTTTTTTATATCAGCAAACATGAGTAATTAGTCCAAGATCAGGAAAGGGAAGTCATCTACCCTGCCTGAAAAATATCATAAAGAAAAAAAAAAAAAGGAAGAACTGGGCTTACGGTCATTAACATCAATTGTCATGGCAATCTTGTCAAGAACAGCGATAGCATCCTCGAGAGCCTTATTATAAGCTGCAGTGAAGAAAACATTATTCAAAGGAAAGCATGTAAAAAGCTACAACACTGTGGAATAGTAACAAATCATACGCAAGTATACCTCGGCATATGACAGTAGGATGGTAACTCTTTTCAATGAATGCTTCCGCAACATGTAACATTTCACCAGCTGTGATAACCAAAAAAAAAGAGAGATCACTGAAACTGGAAACATGTTTGCTTTCAGAACACATTACTTTAAATCTACAATAAAACATCACAGCGGTACCTAGTGGCAGAAAACAGTTTCAACTAAGATCATCAGATAAATATAAACATACCAAGAACAATAACAGATGTCGTCCCATCACCGACTTCTTCATCCTGTGTGCGGCTCAACTCAATCATTGACTGCAAAAAATACAGAGAGAAGGAAAACATATCAAAAAAGAGAACAATAAGAAGATAACAAGAACGTTTAAAAAAAAAGAGAGAGGAGATATAAAACCTTAGCTGCAGGATGAGCAACATCTAGTTCACGCAAAATAGCATTCCCATCATTGGTAACAACAATTCCTGTAAAGCGCCATAAACAAAGAGTTTAGCAGACTAAATAACCATAGAAGAAGAGAAATGATCCAAGAAATAAATTAAAAAAACTCAAGCAAATAGTAAAATTCACAATGAAAATTTAGGTCTTATGCATAGCTAACTCAAAAAGTGAAGCAGGATAGTTTAGAGAAAGAGAGAACTACAAAATCTGTAAAGACTGAATCTTTCAAAACTCAAAAGGCATAAACCTTTAAACCTACTCTAGGGTTTATATATACCTAACTCAGAAACTAAAGCAGAATATCTTACACAAAGAGAGAACTACAAAATACAAATCTGTAAAGGCATAAACTTTAAACCTAATCTTAGTCTCAAATAAGATCTATAAAGAAGAGTAAACACATAATAAGAAGAAGCAAAGTACCTCCACCAGCATCAAGAAGCATCTTCAACATAGAGCGAGGACCCAATGTAGTACGGATGATATCAGCCACAGCCTGTAAATATCAAAACCCAAAAAACAGAGTGAAACCAATGATTTCGAAAAACAGAGAATGAAGTAAGAACTAAACACAAAAAGGAAAAGACTTTATTTACCTTGGAAGCTTGAATATTACCATGGTGAACCTTTGTTCCAGATTCACGCTTCAATGAGTCCTCTGTAACATTTTCACAAAGCAGTAAAAGCATTAGAGAAACATGGAAAAACACGGAGATTCAAAGAGACGAGATCTGAAGGAACTTACTGAGAACGAGAACCGGAGCGTTCATGTTGTGCGATCTAAGCGTAGGAGTAGAATCGGAGAAGAAGACGGCGACGGAGCAGATTCGAGAAAGCGGAAGAATGCTATTTACTTCGCGGCTCTCACTCTCTTTTAGTCTTTTAGATTTTTAGAAGCCCAAATCTAAACAAAGCCCATAAGCCCAATATAAGCTTCTTGTGTATCACAAAATATTGGCTGGAATAAAGCCCATTTCTAGTTCATATTTGGGGAAAGTAGCCTTTTGGGGAAGTTGTAGGGTCCATTCCCCACGAGAAAAGTATCTGTATATAGCAGCACCAAATGTCCATGGAACTACGATCTCATTCTATTTACTCTCGAGAATAAAGTTCAAAACATATTTCTCAACCAAATTAAAGTTATGTCGATACTTCCCCACAGTTATAAAGATCGAAATCTAAAAACCCACAAAATCGATTTGTATTGATTTACTGTTTGTAAACAAATCGTAAACTATGTTAAGTCAATGACTAACCAGATTAAGATCCAGTTGGATCTTTTTAAGTTCAAATGTTGGGTCGGGTTACCGTTCTGATTCAGATCAAGGTTTGGTCGGATTTTTAATTTTGTCTTGGTTTAGTTTTTACTCGGTTTATTATCTGAGAGTAGAGATTTGAAATTCGATTTTTAGAAATCATACCTAAATCAAATTTGGTGGAGAAATATGTTCCAAATTTTATTCTCATGGGTAAATAGAATGGAATCATAGTTTCGTGGACATTTGGTGCTATACAATATTTCTGGTGGGAAATAGATCATCGACCCTAGCATTTTTTCTATGTGGTAGATTAGAGAAAGAT